AGTTCCTGGAGAGTTTGCCTCTGTTAGACTTTAAAAATTGCATATTTAATACCTCTTATAGAATATTCTCATGCAGGTGAGGGAATGAGTTGTGAACCTAACCAGCTTCCAGCCTCCTTACTTTATCACTGTTTCAGAAACCTCACCACTTTGTAGAGCTGACTCACCTTACTAAACTCTGGCCCAGGCCACCTAAGTTTCTCTCTGCACCTGCTGAAGGAGATCAAAATGCCCCAGATCTTATAGTCAAGAATACTAAAAAAGTCAAAGCTAGCAAGACCCACAGTCCAGCACTTCTCACTATTGTCCAGAATAGTGACCAGAGCTCCCCTCCTCTTTTCCATACCAACCCCTGTCCATCCTTAGGGTCTGTCTCTGGCTTCTGCTCCTCCAGAAATCCTTCCTGGATTGAAAGTGCTCTTCCTGGGAGTTCACTTGGAATTCTTTGCACACCTCTCTCCCTTCCTGAGGGAAATAATATTGGGTAGTCCAGATATCAATTGCTCCCTCATCCCCATAGTCCAGTCACACTTCATCCAAAAAAAAAAATCACTATGTAAATTCGTTTACATTGCACACTTCACAACTTTAAAATTCTGCCTGGGCATGTGTCTTCTTCAAAGTCACCTTCTTTACCATTCTCCTTCTGGTAGCACCCTGGCCTCCAGGATTCTCTAGTCTGTCTTATGCAGAACAATTCCACTGTTAAGCATAAGCATACCAGAAGCATTTCAGTGTTTAAAAGAAAACAAGATTATACAAATAAAGTGTCTGCCTTCTCAGAGGCAATTTATCCAGTCTAGTGTTTCCTGATCTTGCTCTTTGAAATCTTTCCGCATCTGATGAAATAAAATTAACACCAGGATTCTGCGATTCTTGGCTCTGGAGTTCTACCAATATGATTTAGCTACCCTTTATGTTTCTACTTTGTCTTCCATTTTCCAATTCTACAGCAAATAATTTCCTCACCCTATACTGTCTGTATGCCTTTTCTCTGCTTCATGCTTGCTTGCTTGTAACTCCAGCCTATACATTATATTATCATGACCTCTCTGACTCTCCAATTTTTGCTCCCAGTACTGCCCACTTCAAAAACACCTAAACTAAAAAAGCTGATCACCCCAGGCCATCTTTTAAATCTGATCCTATTATAGTTCATTGGACAACATATGGATTGACTGCCCTTTTGTTCAAAGCCTAGCCCTGGTTCTCCAGTCATGTATAGCTTTCATTATCCCATGATACGAAGATGATCATCCAGACTCACCCCTTCTGCAGTCATTGCTGATAGTTAATTTCTCCTTAGATTGGGCCAGAGGGAAGCAATTGTTATGATTCTTGTGAATTACGCCAATTGTAGGTCCTTCTTTTCTATTGCAATAGATGTATGATTTCCAACCCAAATCCCCTTTTATAAGCCACTGTACCCCTCTCCCTAGTTCTGTGAGGGTAGCTGATATGTTTTTGAGTCGGTATTTTCAATTCCTTTAGATAAACACTCAGGAATTGAATTCTGGATCATATGGTAGTTCAGCTTTTAATTTTTTGAGGAACCTCCCTACTGTTTTCCATAGTGGCTACACCAATTAACATTCCCACCAACAGTGCACATCCATATCCTCAGCAACACTTGTTGTTTCTTGTCTTTTTGATGCTATCCTTCAGACAGGTGTAAGATGGTATCTCATTGTGGTTTTACTTTGCATTTTCCTGATTATAAGTAATAGAGATTGCATTGAATCTGTAGATCATTTGGGGTAATATGGACACTTAAATGATATTAATTCTTCCAATCCACCTCTTCTTCTACCTGTTGGCCATCTGTATGTCTTCTTTGGAAAAATGTCTAGTCAGATCATCTGCCTATTTTTTAATTGGATTCTTTTGCTATTGAGGTGTATGTGTTTTTATATATTTTGAATATTAATCCATTATCAGATATATAGTTTTCAAATATTTTCTCCCATTCTGTTGGTTGCCTTTTTATTCTGTTGACTTCCTTCGCTGTGTGAGGCTTTTAGGGTGCTGTAGTCCCACCTGTTTTTATTTTTACTGCTTTGCATTTAGTGTCATATCTATAAATCATTTCCAAGACCTATGTCAAGGAGCTCACCACCTATGTTTTCTTCTAGAAGTTTTATTGTTTCAGGTATTCTGTTCAAATCTTTAATACATTTGAGTTACATTTTGTGTATAGCATGTGGTCCAGATTTCCTAACATTATTTATTGAAAAAACTGCTTTTTGTCCATTGTAGAGTCTTGGCTCTTTTAAAGAAAATTGACTGTATATACGTGGGTTTATTTCTGGTCTCTCTTCTGTTCCATTAATCTGTCTCTGTTTTTATGCCAATACCATACTGTTTTCATGACTATAGCTTTTGTAACATAGTTTGAAATTAGGTAGTGTGATGCCTCCAGTTTGCTCTTTCTCAAGATTGCTATGGCTTTTTGGAGTCTTTTGTGGTTCCATACAGATTTTATGGAACCTATTTATGTGAAAAAGCCATTGAAATTTTGATAAAGGTTGCATTGAATCTGTAGATTGGGGTAATATGGACACTTCATGATATTAATTCTTCCGATTCATGACCAAGGAATATCTTTTCGTTATTTGTGTCTTCTTCAGCTTCTCTCATTAAGTTCATATAGTTTTCAGTGTACAGATCTTGTACCTCCTTTTCTTGTCTCTGACCCTAAAGCTTTTAGCTTTACACCATTGAGTGTGATGTTAGATACCGGCTTGTCATATATGGCCTTCATAATGTTATTATACTTTGTTAGGAGTTATCATAAATGGATGTTGAATTTTCTCAAATACTTTTTCTGCCTCTATTGGGATGATTTTTATCCTTCATTTTGTTAATGTGGTATCACACTGATATGCAGACATTGAACCATCCTTACATTGCTGGATAAAATCCACTTGATCATGCTGTATGATTCTTTTAATGTGTTGAATTTGGTTTGCAAATATTTTCTTGAGGATTTTTAAATCTATGTTAATCAAGGATATTGGCCTGTATTTTTCTTTTCTTATAGTGTTCTTGTTTGATTCTGGTATCAGGGTTAATAGCAGCCTCATAAAATGAGCTTTAAAGGACTCCCTCTTTTTCTATTTTTTTTGGAACAGTTTGAGAGGATTAGTATTAATTTTTCTTTAAATGTTTTATAGAATTGGTTAGTGAAGCGATCTGGTCTTGGACTTTTATTGGCTGGAGGTTTCTGATTACTGATTCAGTCCCCTTATAACACACACTTTTCTTGAGTGCATATGAAACATTCTCCAGGATAGATCACAGACCTCAAACAAGCCTTGGGATGGAATGTTCTGCATACGTCTGTTAAGTTTAACTGGTCTTAAACATACTGTTTAAGGCTAATTTTTATTTATTGATTCTATCTCTGGATAATCTATCTATTGATGAAAATGGGGTATTGAAGTCCCCTGCTATTATTGTATTGCTGTCTATTTCTCCCTTTAGGTCTGTTAATAGTTGTGTTATATATGTAAGTGCTTCTATATTGGATATATACATACTTAGAAACGTTATATCCTCTTGTTGGCTTGACCTCTTCACCATTATATAATGACAGTCTTTCCTACTACAGTCTTTTTCTTAAAGTCTATTGTCTACATAGAGGCATACCTTATTTTATTGCAGTTCACAGATACTGTGTTTTACAAATTGAAGGTTTGTGGCAACTCTGCATCAAGCAAATCTATTGGTGCCATTTTTCCAATAGCATTTGCTTATTTCATGTCTCTGTGTCACATTTTGGTAATTCTTGGAATATTTCTAACTTTTAAAATTCTTGTTATATTTGTTGTGATCTTTGATGTTACTAGTGCAAAAAGATCATGCCTTGCTAAAGTCTCAGATGATGGTTAGAGTTTTTAGCAATAAAGTATTTTTAAATTAAGGTACATAGTTTAGATAGTCTGCTAAGTTTGCAATAGCATTGTATCATGTAGTAGGAGCATAACTTACATGCACAGGGAAAGCAAAAACTTTGTGACTCACTTTATTGTGATACTCGTTTACTGTGGTAGTTTGGAAATGAACCCACAATATCACCAAGGTATGCCTTTATAGCTACTCCAGCTTTTTAAAATTTCCATTTGCATGGAGTATCTTTCTTTATCCCTTTGCTTTCAGTCTATGTGTGTCCTTTTATCTGAAATAAGTCTC